TCGGAGATGCTCCCTTTCACGCGTCGCAGGTGAAGGTCAAACGTCCAATTAGGAAAGGAGGGGTTTACCTAGAGTCCTACACGGTCACCTGATCACCTCTATACTTTGGGGATATTTTGCTTGAACTCCGTATCACCTAGACATGACAACGCATTCAGCACCTAGGCGTCATAAGTCCAACGCATAGATTTGCTGCTGACTAGAAAAGATAACTTGTTACGATAAGAACCAAATTGACCCTTTGGACGAATATAGGGTAGAAAGACAATGGGCGCACCGCCAGTTACTAGTGGTGTGCTGGAAAGACAATGATGAATGTATATGTATTTTCTTGGTTTTAAACCGGAGACCTCGTGTTTGGGCATCTCTAAAGACTTGTGGCGGCGGTGGCTGCGGCCGGGCCAGGTTGGGACGGAGGTGTCACGGTGGCGACAAGAGTGGGGAGCGGAGAGAGGAGGAGGAGGCCACTGTATACGTGGCAGGGGTCTCGTCGGAGCTCTGCCGCGGCAGCCTACCATGCCCGCAGCGGGGGCTGAGAGGGGGCGGCGCCTGCGAGGCAGGAGAGACAGAACGCGTGGAGAAGAGGAACAGTACCTGCCGACGCGCGGATCCCGTCCGAACGCTCGGACCCCGTGCGGGCGGGTCAGGCGGTCACTACTGCTCTCTATAGTACTTTCCCGTGCGTGGAGTGGAAGTAGGCAGCAGTGTAGCTAGCGAAGAAAATGGACTTGAAGGACGCACCCCGAAATTCGTGATCTTCTACGTAGATCTGTGCATGATTCTGTTTGTGCTAATGTAGGACACAACTCCCTGACGGTCCGCACCATTTTACACGGTTTGGAGCCTTTGGCCGTCACTCGGTGCCGCCCGCCCTGCCTTTGCGTCCGCGCGCCGCCCAGAGCAAAAGCATGCATTAGTCCTCAGCGGTCGCGGGATGTGACCACCGCCTCGTGGCGACGACGATACCAGGCACCAGGCCACCACCGTCCACCGTCTCTCGCATCAGTGGCCGCCTGCCGCCCCTGCACCGTCCTACTGTCCCTATGTATACGTGCTTGCATTGGCGGGTCCCGTGGCCGCCGCCTCCGAGCAGCTCCGCGTTGACGTCGAGACAGGGGACCCCGCGTGGTACGTCCTCCAAGCACAGCTGCCGTCCCGAGTTGGCGTGGGTGGCCGGTGCGGAGTGGTGGTTTTGGCTCGGGTCGTGTGGGAGATCCACGCGGTCAGCGCGCTCAAAGCGGTTCACAGCACTGTCCAGCGCCCGGCCGCCGATGGTGTGCTTGCAGCGTGGGGAAGCAACCGCTGGCCTCTTTTTTTTTTTTTTTTTTTTGGGGAAGCAACCGCTGCGCGTACGCGTTCGATGGCGAAAATCCTCGTACTCCGACGAAAATGTCGCGATCGCAAGTCAGCGCCACCGGAGTCATGTCGAAGGTCACGGTCAAGCTACTCATCATACAGAGCCGCGGACCTCTGACCTCAGGCCTCGGCACACAGCCACACACTGACACACACAACCGCAAAGGACGCGGCGGGAGAGGCGGAGTGGAGGCCCAGGTCAACATAGGTACTGGCCCATTCCGATCCAGCCGGTCCAGCCCATGATCTCCCATTCCTTACTACGTATACCGAAAGGTGGCTCCTGCAGCAGGTTTCGTGGCCCAGCCCATTCCGGGGTGCGGCAGTCCCTGACGCCCGGTTGGTGAGCCTTGTGTGAGTTCTGAAAAGGGAATTCCTCTCCTCTATCTTCGCGACAAGAGACTAAACGAAGGGAGCCGTCACATACGACCACTACATGGAGAAATTAAAGGTGTGTGAGTTAGCACGTTAACATTGGGCACGCAGATGCAGCAGAGCTCGAGTGAGCTCTCCCTTTTGCCGCAAATGATGCGGCCGGCCTGACGGGAGCCACCAGGCTCCAGGCACCGGCTGCGGTTGCGGCAGAAGATGCCCTGCTCTCCCCAACTCGGGAGGCACGCGAGCCCAAGCAATGAGCGCTTCACCGGCTGTCCGTTGCCTTTCCCCCCCCCCCTCCTGCATCAATCCCAGATTCCCAGCCAAGCCAAGCCAACGGGAGAAGCTCCATCGCCAGAAAGAAAGCGCCTGGCAGATACTGATCGATTCGATGCGAGAGAGTGTGTACAGGGTGGAAAAGGGTTGGTGGTGCTGCAGCGTGCGCGCGCATACATGATACATGCATGGTTCAGTGACTGCTCGCTAGCATTCTGATGGGTGGTGCGCACGCCGGCCGGACCGCTCCTCCTCCAGTCCGGCAGTATGGGCACAGGGCGTAAAGGCCCTTTTTTCCGGCTGTGTTGATAGAATAGAAGGATATAGGAGATGCCATGCTGGGGCGGACGGAGCACCCAAGAGCGTCAAAGTGCTGCAGCAATGCTGAATATCATAAAGCCCTTGAGCCGGACGATCGAGGCGCGCGGAAACTAACTGGTTCATGTTGCTATTTATCCCGCTAGTTTGCATGCGGCTGTGATTCGGCATGCTCAGCTCAGCTGTCAACGACCATAGTTTCGGCTCACATGTGCTTCGCCGAGACAAAGCTGGCCTGGCCTGCTACAGTTTCCCCTTCCCCAGCCGTGTGCTGGGTGGGTATACGTATGCCTTCATCAGTCATCACCGGGCATTCGGGCGCACGCACAGTTTCCCTTGGCGGCGTCCGGTAGACAGACGACGGTGCCGGCGCGACGTCGATTTCTCGCCGTACACATTAACACTGCTGCCCGCTTGGCTGTGCCTGGTGGCTACTGATTACCAGGCTGCTGGCACGTTGGCATATCATCCACACACCAACAGGGTACAGGCGTCGGGCCGGAGTAGATACGACGATCCATCCCCCGTGGTGCAGTGCAAGGTCGACAAACGAGAGAAGAATACACACACGCCCGCTAGCTCTCCTACACGCATCGCATGGATGGCCAAGAATCTAACTACGGGGAGCCCGCACATGCCGGTGGAGGTGTCGCCGGCCCCCTTCCTGGAGCCGCTTGGCTTGGGCGCTTCCGTCCCCCCGACCCGAGTGCCGGTCCTGGCAGCTCCACCGCTACTGCCACCAACCACCAACGAGAAAAAGCCTATTATACGTACGTGCCGCAGTCCATGATTGCGCGCGCGCTCCCGTCCGGCCTCCGGGCTCTGCACTGCCGATGTGCCCCGAGCCTTGTATGCGGCAGCCGGCAATAGTACCGCCCGTCCACCACCACCAACGGCCCTACATGTACGTACAGCCTGGACTGGATGTTCCATCCACGATTCGACTATTCGTAGCTAGCTAGAGTGAGGACTGGAGGCCACAGATCTCACTGGCTGGCCTCCAAACACCACCTGCCGGCCGAGGGGGATGCTCAAAGCTGCCGGTGATCAGGCCGCTGTGCACCCTGAGAGCTCCTCCGAGAACAGAGCATGAAGTCTTTTATGTCATGTTCTGACCTCAAAAGTCAGCTAGCAATTTTCATGCTTTGCGTTTAGAGGAACTAGCACGTCAATGGGCCAGTAGTTTCAAGAGATGTCACAGGTGTAGAAATCCGTGGTTCTGAATTAAAAAACTACTAGTGCAAATCAAAATTGCTTATCTTCATTACTTTGTTGTTCATGTACTAGCATAACACTTGCATACATATATATATAATAACTAGAGTATATATAAGCTTTGTCCCACCGAGATAGACTTTAAATTACTTAACAACTACTCTATGTTTTTCCTTCTCTTTCTACAGTGGCATCGAAGTATTGTAGCTTTATGTGTGTTTGACATGTGCCTAGATGAAAATTTAGCATGGATTATGTCTCTCTCTCTCTCTCTCTCTGTGTGTGTGTGTGTGTGTAACATGGAAATCGACGGCTATGTGCATGGTGTGTATGGTAACATACATTATGCATGTATAGACCTTAGAAGCTAATCTCGAAGCATATCTAGAGTAATTTGGGTCAATAGTAGATGTGGATAATTTAGATACAAGATTAGAGGTTTGTTGTAGATTTCACGGTAGCTTTGGTGAATAATTTGGATTAAGATTTAGGAGTTACTTTAGGTTACTTCCTATGACTAGGATGACATGGATGGATAATTGACTGATAGCTGGATGTTTTACTTTTATTTTTATGAGCATTCGTATTTAATGTGTCCCAAAAAGATTAATGGAGAGGCTAAAAAAAGTATATGTAATTAGGTCACTTAGAGGGAGTCTTCGTATTCGTGTTTCAAGAGTGCCGCATAAAAAAATGTCATTTGGTCAACACTGATTGAACTATCATATACAATGAATTGTTTCTTTTGTTTTTTGTTATAACTTATAAGCAATACATACAAACTAAGCGTACACACATGGCTTCGTCTCGATGAAGCTTATTAACCTTCCTTTTCAGTAGTTCTTTGCCACATTGCAAAAAACGTTCTATTTAATGGGGGGAAAAATTGGCTAGAAATAATAAGGAATAGTAAAACATTACACTAATGAAGTAACGAGCGTCGATCTGGTCGGAGACCATGTGAGTGGCAGTTCGGAATAGAAATGGAGACCGCGGCTGGGCGATACATTATTACCTCTGGTCCCCGTGTCAAGGCTGATGCTATCCGATCACCTACCCCTTCAATCAATTATCCGAAACCACCCCACATCCGCCACATGATGAACACTACTCCGAGCTGTGAACGAGCATGGGTCGCGAGTGTGTGTAAAACTGACTCTGAAATAGGGACAGAGGGAGGGGGAGTAGGTTATAAAAGTGTACCGGCAGCTATCCCGATCCATCACAATCTGCTTACGCACAGACAAATAGTAAAGACACTAGGCATGAAGTCACTGACAGGATAAGTATTGCTAGAAAAAAGGTCGTACACGCATCCGGGAGCAGTTGAAACCTAGCAGATTATTCAGCAATCACCAAGCCACATGGAATTTTCCCCGCCCTTCATTTCTTCCTGAGCCTCGTCTTCAGCCTCTCAACCGCGCCCCGCAGAGTATCTTCATCCTTGCAGAAGGTAAACCTCACCAGCTTCTTCCCCTCCTCAGGGTTGAGATAAAATACGCTCGGTACGGTGGTATAGCGGCCACGCCGACTTCACGAATCAAGTACTCGCAGAACTCTATGTCATTGTTGAAACCGAAGGGGGTGTGGTCGACCATGATGAAGTATGTTCCACTTGATGGGTAAACAATAAACCCTGCGGCTTCTAGTCCTTCTAACAGTATAGCCTTTTTTGCGCTGTAGTCCCTCTTCAGTTCCTCATAGTAGCTATCTGGTGCTCTCAGAGCTGCTGCTGCTGCTGCTGCTGCTTGCATTGGTGTGCAGGTTGCAAATGTCAGGAATGAGTGTGCTTGCCTAAGAACACGGGTGGGTGCAACACCCGGTTCATCCCAGACTGGGATTGGAACACGGGTGGGTGCCCTCCATGACAGGAGGAGCAACCACCGTGCTGTGAGCGCGTTTGCGCAAATGTAGCTTTGATCTGAGTATTCTTATGTCAATATGTCTTCCTTCTTTATGCAGGGAGTTATTTCAATCTTTTAAATTCACAAACTTCAGGCATGTCAAAACAAAGGGAAAATTCAGGCTGCATGGTGATACAACAATGTGCCAAACAGCTAAAAGGTTGCAGAAATATAGCATGATTTTATCTAATCACTGCATTCTTGCCGAATAGGGTGGTAATTAGCAGTATATACAGGAGAATCCCATATAAGCATCAGACAATTGGTTTTCAGCCAAGGGCCTGAGAAGAAGAAGAAAAACATCCAGGGTAAAAACTATATGTCTATGGCATGCTGTATTCTGCCAGATTTACACTTCCATACATGCTGATTGTTGGCCACGACGACATAGGAACCTCATATAAATGACATGGCTGCTCGTCATCATGTCTACGCTCTTTTTATTGCTGGGCACTATCCTACTGGAGCAAACAGGCAAAGCAACTCTATAGCAAAGAAATTCTGCCACGAAAGCTCTTAAGAGCAGTGTACCTATTGAATATTATTGGATAAATATTCCTTGCAATGAACAATATTGCATGCATAGGGAATCTGTAGCCTGCTTGATAGGGTTACAGATTCAGATGGTTGACTGGTATCAACAATCAGGTCTATTTCAAAATATGAAAATTAATGATTAGCAAGAAGCATACATCTTTAAGATGTATAATAAAGTAATAAACACATAAAGGAGTACCAGATGGAGGAATAGCAATACATTGCACAAAAGAAACATACAAAAAGTATCAACAGCATGAACTATAAAAGTAGTAGCAATGCTCTGTAATATGGGTGCAGCAAGCAAGACAAGAATTCGATACTCTTGTTGAGGGCAATGCCACCACTTTTCATCTAGTAATCAATAACCAGTAATGAAGTATAAATGGGTACAAGGGTATTAAGAGTTTCAGCAGGATGAAAACCTTCTCAGTTTTACTATAAACTATCTAACTATCTAAGAAACATGCTAGCTAGCTCTGCCTTTTTCATTAGCAATATCATTCAAATAAATGAAACATATAAACTTTGTTTTCTCAAGTACAATGAAACATATATAATAAATAAATTCATCGACGTTAGCTGATTGTTTGAATAATGGCATGACTGATAAAATAGTAAAACGCTGCTCAAATTTATTCACGACAAATAGCTTCCCTCTTTCCTGGCATATACTGTGTGCTATTTGATGTCAAGGGCCTTATGATCTAGGGTAGGCGGTCCTCGACTACGGAGTTCGTAATCTCCGGCAAGTGATCTTCCGCTCATTTTCCCATTTGAGGTTATTCCCTCAGTCACAAATTCTTAATCGGGCTTGAGAGCGAGAGGTAGAAGAAAAAATGGCAGGATAAATGATCTTGCTTGATTCAATCTTTCATTTAGTGCTTATATGATGTTTGAATATATAGCCATCGGCCCTAACCAACGGAGGAAACAAACTCCTCAATATAAGAAACTAATCTAAGATAGCAAATAATATCTTAACAACTAAATATAGGAATAGCTTTCCAAATTCAGCCACTCAATATCCTGATTGCCTCCTCCTCGGTTGCATGCACCGATCCCATTACATTATTCGATCCTCCGTCGCCCGTATTCGTATATGTATCCGCGCTATCCGTGCACATCTCGAGCTCGGCGTCTCCTATAATGTAGGTCTTCCCCACATGACATCTCCCCATCCCTCGAGACTCAGACAATTGGTTTTCCCAAGGGCCTGAGAAGAAGAAGAAAACAAACATCCAGGGTAAAACTATATGTCTATGGCAGGCTGTATTCTGCAATGTCCTCCCAAGTTGTTGGCCACGAGACTAGTCCTTCCATAAATGAACAAGGGCTCGGCATCATGCTACGCTCTTTTATTGCCGCACTATCCTACTGGAGCAAACAGGCAAAGCAACTCTATAGCAAAGAAATTCTGCGAAAGCTCTTAAGAGCAACCTATTGAATATTATTGGATAAATATTCCTTGCGGCGATGGCGCCTGTAGCCTGATGAATTCAGATGGTTGACTGCGGTGGTGCGATGGTGGCGACCGTGGAACATCTTGAGCGAGCCAATGTGGAACACGTCATGGAGACGAGCGTATCAACAGCATGAGCTCCAAAAGCGTAGCAATGCTCTGACGTTGATGAGGGCAATTCTTTGATCGTAATCAATAACCAGTAATGAAGTATAAATGGCCCATAGAAGCGGGATGAAAACCTTCAGTTTTACTATAAACTATCTAACTATCTAAGAAACATGCTAGGGGAAGCGGCGCATTAGCAATATCATTCAAATAAATGAAACATATAAACTTTGTTTTCTCAAGCCCACCGGTATGTAACGTGGCGGTGGTGCTTGTCATAATGGCATGACTGATAAAACCGCTGAACTTGCTCGAGCCGGTAGCGGATGTCGGAGAGGAACTCAGCCCGCTCCTCCATGCTCTTGTCAAGGGCGGCGGCGACCTAGCGTGTCCCCGGTTCGTAGGAGCGGATGGAGGTGGATCCAATCTGCCATAGACGACCGGAACGGGTGTCACGGCGAGGAGGACGGATACGCCGTGTTGAAGATGAACTCCGCCCATGGGAGCCAAATAAAAGCCATTGCCGTCGGCGGTCCCTCCATAAAATATCAACGCAAGTACATAATAATCACCCGGTTAGCCGCCTCGGACGCCCATCCGATCGCGGGTGGAATGCCGTCGTCATGTGCGCCGGAGGACATGGTGCCCATCACCGCATGAGTTCGCGCCAAAACGTCGAGGTGAAGATGGGGTCGCGGTGCGACACCATGGATCTGCGGAACGCCATGTAGACAAACGATCTCGGCGAAGAAAGCTTGAGCGACGGACTCGGGCGGCGATGCGGTATGAAGCGCCAGCCCGGATGAAGTGGGCGATATTCTTTGAACACATCCCACCACCGTCGGGATGACGGACTTGCCGCAAGCTTTCGTGGGACGTGGCGGCGCCTCGGCAATCTAGAGCGATGTCGGTCCGGACGCCTGGGCACCGGCGAGGCAGCAGCGAGGCCGGCGGCCGGGCTCAGTGCTCGGACTTGTAACGTTGGCACACTACGCAGGGCGTACCCGATCCTGGACGAGCCGCTTCATGTTGGGGATGTGGAAGTCGCGCGGAAAGGCGAGGTGCAGATGGGGTGCCGGACACCCTCGCGTGCCCGCCCCCATGTGTAGCCTCGATGATCTCCCGAGCTAAGGACGATGTTTTCGGGGATGTACACCGGCACGTTGTATGCAGCGTCGAGTCGTCGACGAAGCGCCGTGGGGCCCGTCGCGCGTCTGCGCGATGCGGTGACCTCGTCACGCGAGGGCGCGGAGAGCAGCGGCCTGAGTGCTCGGACTTGCCTTGGCGTCGGCGGAGCGCGTCAACGCAACTGATGAAGTCAAAGCGAGGCGCAGCGGTGCCAAGATGGCGCCCCGTCCTCGATGTCTCGCTAAGGACGATGTCGCGGATGTACAGCCGAGCGCAACTGTAGCAGCGTTCGCGACCGCGCGCGGCTTGTATTCCACGGTGACCTCGTCGCGGAGTCGAACCCAAGCAGCCTTGCCCACCCAATGATGCCGCGGGATGGTGGCAAGGCGCCGTCCAAGCCAGGTACTTGAGGGAGTAGTGGTCGGTCTTGACGAAGGCGCCCGCCCCGAGAGATACGGCCGCCCGATGGACGACGGGCGTGCACCAGCCGATCAGCTCCCTTCAGATGCAAATGAGGGCACGGCGACGCGATAGCGCGACGGGCCGGTGAAGAATGCCACGGGTGGCCGTCCCGACGAAACACACAGCGCCCGAACCTGTGGGTGGACGCGTCGCACTCGACGGTGAACGGCTTGGCGAAAGTCGGCATGGCGAGGACGGGCGCCGATGTCACCGCTTCTTTAAGCGCGTCGAAGGCGTGGCGGTGTCTCTCGCCCCGAGAGAACCCGTCTTTCTTGGTGAGGGCCGTCAGCGGGGCGGAGATGGTGCCGTAGTTGTGGATGAACTTTCGGTAGTAACCGGCGAGGCCGAGGAAGCTGCGCACCGCCCGTGCCGAACGGGGAGCCGGCCACTTGTGGATCGCCTGAACCTTGGCCGGATCCATGGCGACGCCCGCCTCGGATATGACGTGGCCGAGGTAGGACACCGAGGGGAGCCGAAGGTGCACTTGCCGTGTTGACGACGAAAGCCGGTCGAGTGACGGAGCACGGAGAGCACGGTACGCAGGTGCCGCAGGTGGTCGGTCCAAGTCGCACTGTAAATCAAAATGTCATCAAAGAAGACAAGCACGAAGCATCGCAGAAACGGTCGAAGCACGTCGTTCATCAGCGCCTGGAACGTTGCCGGGGCGTTGCACAGCCCAAACGGCATGACGAGGAACTCGTAGAGGCCGTCGTGTGTCCGGAAGGCGGTCTTGTGGACGTCTTCGGGCCGCATTCGTACTTGATGATACCCCGACCGCAGATCGAGTTTGGTGAAGAATCGGGCGCCGTGGAGCTCGTCGAGGAGCTCATCGACGACGGGAATCGGAAACGCGTCCTTGACGGTGAGGGCGTTGAGGGCGCGGTAATCGACGCAGAAACGCCACGATCCGTCGGCCTTCTTGACGAGCAGGACCAGCGAGGAGAAAGGCGAGTCGCAGCGGCGGACGACGCCCTGCTCGATCATTGCGGCGCACTGGCGTCCCAGCTCGTCCTTGTGCGCCGCTGGGTAGCGGTACGGGCGGACCGCCACGGGAGCGGAGCCAGGCTTGAGGACGATGGCGTGGTCGTGGCCACGTGGCGGAGGGAGGCCCGTGGGTTCCCCGAAGACGTCCTCATATGCGACGACCAGAGCT